CCCAAAATGAACATTTTGTCATTAATCACTTACCCCCATGTCGTTCCAAACCCGTAAAAGCTTAGTTCGTCTTCGGAACACAATTTAAGATATTTTGGATGAAAACCGGGAGGCTTGTGACTGTCCCATTGACTGCCAAGTAAATTACATTGTCAAGGTCCAGAAAAGTATGAAAAGCATAGTCAGAATAGTCCATCTGCCATCAGTGGTTCAACCGTAACGTTATGAAGCGACGAGAATACTTTTTGTACACAAAGAAAACTAAAATAACGACTTTATTCAACAATTGGTCTCCTCTGTGTCTCTCCACATCACCGTAGTGCCATTTTGGAGAATATGAGCTGAACGCAGGTAGCGTATGCTCTTCTGTGTGCGATGAGGGCTGATATTGAATCAACGTTTTATCAGGTTCGAGTACCTATTGAGGATGCGGACTTCCTGAGGTTCCTCTGGTTGCTGGACGGCAACCTGGATCAAGATGAAGAGGAGTACAGGATGCTACACATGTTTGGTGCAACCTCTTCACTGAGTTGTTCTTGTTACGCTCTTCAAAGAACAGCAGAAGATGGAATCAACGACACTACTCCAGAAGCAGCTCAGACATTCTTGAAAAATTTTTACGTTGATGATTGCCTTAAATCAGTGGCAACTGAAGAACAAGCAGTCATTCTTGCAAGAGACATCAGAGCGCTTTGTAATCGAGGTGGCTTCCATTTGACAAAATGGACTAGTAATAGCAGAACTGTACTTTCGTCCATACCTGAAGAGGAACGAGCCACTGACGTGAAAGACTTAGATCTGGACAGCGGGTTGCTTCCCATGGAAAGAGCACTGGGAATTCTATGGTGTACAGAGAACGACAAGTTTAATTTCAAGATTGAAGTGCAAAACAAACCGCTTACCAGAAGAGGTATATTGTCAGTTGTTTGCTCAGTTTACGATCCTCTTGGGTTCCTAGCATCATTTGTGCAACCTGCAAAGCTCATTCTGGGAGACCTGTATAGAGAGAAAATAGCATGGGATGAGGATATTGTAGAGAAAAAGGCTAAGAGGTGGCTGTCCTGGCTGGAAGATTTGCATAAACTTGCAAACTTCAGTGTGAGTAGATGTATTAAACCTGCAGGGTTCGGGCATGTCAAGACCTTTCAATTGCATCACTTTGCAGATGCTAGCAAGAACGGATACGGGACTGTCACATACCTCTTGTTGACAAATGATCACGATCAGCGGAGCTGCATGTTCATGATGGGAAAGTCCAGAGTGGCACCACTCAAGCAGGTTACTATTCCAAGAATGGAATTGACAGCAGCCACCATCGCAGTCAAAATGGATAGGATGTTGAGAGAGGAGCTTCAAATCGATCTTGAGGAGTCAAATTTTTGGGCTGATAGCACCACAGTGCTGAGATATATCGAGAACGACTCCACAAGATTCAAGACGTTTGTTGCAAACCGAGTCTCATTAATTAGAGAAGCTTCCAAACCTTCTCAATGGAGATATGTGAGCTCTGCAGATAATCCTGCGGACCAAGCTTCGAGAGGCCTAAATGCGGACAATTGATCGAAGCAAAAACTGGATCAAAGGACCTAGTTTCCTGCTGAAGCCACAATGTGAGTGGCCAGTTCGACCTGAACATTCAATGTAATTTGCAGATGATGACAGCAAGCTTAAAAAGGTTTCCACTGTTAACGTAATATGCACTCAGAACAGTAAGGAAGGTCTAGAATGTCTTGTTCATTATTATTCATGCTGGTGTAGCCAATTGATTGTGACTTTTATATTTTATTTAATATCATTTACTTTATAGGATATTATTTTATATTGTTTGTGTTGAAAGATATTTTTTGAAAGTGTTAACTTCATCAAAACTTGTATTTAATGTTTATTTTTGATAATTGCGATTTCATGTTTAGTTTCAATGGTTCCAGTTGGGAGTTCCTACCAATTGTTGTAGGTGGGGTCTTAATTAGTGGCGCACCTTAGGAAGAGGTATCGCTTCTCCTTTAAGCATTCGCGCTCAGTCTCACTGTGAATGCAGATGGGAAGCACGGGTATCTTTCGCTCTCTCATATATATATGTCCTATTTGCTCTCTTTTGTGACTTTATCACGGTGTATATTGTGTTAACGTTGTTAATATGTATTTTATGACGTGTATCTGTGTAATTGGTGAATTCTCTTTGAAAGTGACGCTTTTAATCGTGAGATGTTTTAGCACTTCATCCTCACGTGTGTTTTTCCATGCAGGAGTGAGAGAGTAGGCCTATCGGTGTGTTTGTACTAATTTTGCCTCATACTACTCTTCTTTAAAGGTATGTTTGTACACTTAATGGTTAAATAATTTGTTTTATGTGTGAATTCAGTTGAGTAACAGTCTAAACGATAGTATTCGTTAGACTTACATTGTTAATTACCATATGGTGCAGTCTTATTCAGTGACACAGCATAATTGTATCAAAAGAAGTTTATTTCACATAATATTTACATACATTTTCATTTTTTCATGAAGTATTTGCATGATGGAATGTTGCATGAGGAGTGTTTTTGTATTAACTGTTATGTTACATTGTTATATTTCATGAAATACTGTTTTATTTTGTTGTCTAGTATATGTGCAATGTGTATCGCTTTTCCTTTAAGCATTCGCGCTCAGTCTCACTGTGAATGCGGACGGGAAGCACGGGAGTGAGAGAGTAGGCCTATCGGTGTGTTTGTACAAATTTTGCCTCATACTACTCTTCTTTAAAGGGGAATAAATTCCATCACTCATCTCATCCATGTGTGGTCATGCTTCTGTTCCGAGGGTACTGTTTGACATCTGCTACACTGGCATCGCCTAAAGAAGGCCGTAGTACGGCTAACACATCTCAAAGAAATCCTGCTGGATTTAAGTCGCAAGAGGAAGGAGATACAGATGAGGATCAGTCACACAGAAAGAGATCTCAATACAAAACATTCTAGTACAGAAAGAAATGTATAGCTACAAAAGAGGTTTGAAGAAAAGAAAACCTACCATGGAGGATATAGTGAATGCTGAGCTGGATCTAATTCGTTACAGCCAGAAACAGTAGTTTCAGGAAGAAATAAAAATGCTGCAACAAGGAAAGATGCATGTCAAGAAAAAGAGCTGCATATACCAATTGGATCCTTACCTTGACGAAACCATGTCCTGGCAAAGCTAAGACAGAAATACTGGCTTCCTCAAGCAAATTCTGCAGTTAGAAGAACAATGCATGCATGTTTTGTCTGCAGACGATTACATGCAAAGACTGGCGTCCAAAAAATGGCAGATTTGCCAGAAGATAGGCTGCTTCCAGACAAACCACCATTCACTAATACTGGGGTCGATTTCTTTGGTCCGTTTGAGGTGAGAAGAGGACCTGGATGATAGGTCGCATCATCAAGACAATGCCTGACTCTAAGGGAAATGTTCGCAGTGTGTGTGTGTTCAGAGGAAAGGATAAGTTTGGAAACGTCAGTCTCCGAGAGTAGAGAGAAGGAGGAGAGAGAGTGTGTATTTGTCGTTATGAAGTTATCATCAGTTTGTGGTGTGGGGAATTGGTCACTGATGGTTCTTGTCTTATGTGTGAAGAAAATTGCAAAGTCATCAGCTGTAAGAGTTGATGAAGGAGGAGGGGGAGGAGGACAGAAATACTGGCTTCCTCAAGCAAATTCTGCAGTTAGAAGAACAATGCATGCATGTTTTGTCTGCAGACGATTACATGCAAAGACTGGCGTCCAAAAAATGGCAGATTTGCCAGAAGATAGGCTGCTTCCAGACAAACCACCATTCACTAATACTGGGGTCGATTTCTTTGGTCCGTTTGAGGTGAGAAGAGGACCTGGATGATAGGTCGCATCATCAAGACAATGCCTGACTCTAAGGGAAATGTTCGCAGTGTGTGTGTGTTCAGACGAAGAGCAGAAATCTCCAAAATATGTCTTCTACGGCGCCACTTTTGTAAGAAAAAAAGAAAGACGGAGCTACAAAGTTTTTTGACCGGTGTTTATTTTGTTTCTGTTTATTGAGCAAGAATATCCAGTAAACGATTGAAATTTGAACGAAAACCCGAGTCAATTCTTTGCCCGAGAGAACAAGAAAAATTATTGCTTCTACAGAGCAGCTGTGATGAAATGATGGGTTTGCTGGAACCACAAGCAGTTCTATCTTAGTAAGGTTGAGTTGAAGGTGATGGTCCTTCATCCAGCTAGAAATGTCTCTCAGACAGGCTGCAATGCAAGCAGCTACCGTCGGATCATCTGGTTGGAATGAGAAGTAGAGTTGAGTGTCATCAGCATAGCAGTGATAAGAAAAGCCATGCTTCTGAATGACAGATCCTAATGATGACATGTAGATGGAGAAGAGATCAGTTGTTAATTTTGTTGTGGTAGTATGTTGTTTTAGCAGTGGAGAGACTTGCAGAGAAGGAAGAGAGGAGTGACTGATACACACTAAGGTCGGTAGAGTTTTTTGATTTGCACCATTTCCTCTCTGCAGCCCTGAGTCTAGAGCAATGTTACCGGAGAACATCGGACAGGCAGGGGGCAGAGGGGGTAGTGCGTGCTGGTCTGGATGAAAGCGGGCAAAAGTTGTCTAAGCAAGATGTTAGAGTGGAGCAAAAAGTGTCATTAGCACTGTTTGTGTCCAGTGCTGAAAACTGAGAGGGTGAAGGAAGTGAGGATGAAACCACAGATGTGTATAGATGAGGTCCAGTTGGTTACCTGATTTGTGAGTAGCCATAGTAGACACTCGCTTGAGATCAAATGAGGCGAGCAGAGTGTTGAAGTCAGCAGCCTGGGGTTTTTCAAGGTGGATGTTGAAGTCACAGAGCAGTACCAGAGGAGTACCATCCTCAGGAAAGTTTGAAAGTAACACATCCAACTCCTCCAAGAAGTTTCCCAGTTGACCTGGGGGACGATAAACGACTACAAAGTGGATTTTAACAGGGTGGGTAATAGTAATTGCATGTGATTCAAATGAACTGTTGCCTGTAAGTAACCGAGAGCAGGACAGTCTCAGTTGAGTGGCCGTTTTTGAAGCCAGATTGGTTGTTTTTCCAGGAGGTTGTTCTGTAAAAGAAACAGAGAGTTGATTGAACACAACTAGCTCAAGTTTCTTTGCAATGAATGGAAGAAGGGATACCGGTCTGTAGTTTTCTAAAAGTGCTGGATTTAGGCAGCGTTTTTTAAGCAGTGGGCTTACCCGAGCCTGCTTAAATGCTGTGGGAAATGTACCAGTGTGAAGAGAGGTATTGATAATGTGAGTAAGCTATGACTGAAGAAGAAATGGCCTGAAGGAACTGTTGCCTGTAAGAGATGGTAGAAGATCAAATTTCCATTCATTTGAGATAAGGAGACCAGTAACTCCACCCCTCCCAATCGTGCGAGGGGGGTGGGAAAAAGTGAAATAAGTGGAGAGGGCTGCAGGAGTGGCAGTGTCCTCAGGTTTGATCCAAGTCTCAGTTAGAGCCATGAGGTTGAGACCGGAATGAGTAGCAATAGAATAAATAAATTCAGCTTTTTTAACAGCAGACTGGCAGATCCAGAGACCAATTGGAATAGAGAGTAAAGTAGTAGAGGACAGAGGGACAGGCTGTAGATTATTAGGATTGGCCTGCCTCCAACGTACAGTGCGCGATTTACAAGTGTTGGTAGTAATAGAGATTTGAAAGCACATAGTGAGCACAATTGTCCTAAACACGTAGATGAGAGCAAGCTGTACAAAGAGTAAAGAAAAGTAAAGAAAGGGGAGAAAAGCAATACTTAAGTGCCTTGTCGGTGTCCTTGCTCGGTGGAGTCGCGCAGGTAGAGTCAATGGTCTTTACACTCGTTGGTCTTCACACGAGGGCTGCCGCGACCGCAGCCGCGGTGAACTAACCAATTTTATACTTGCCTGAGTACTCGTTATTGAAGTCAGCTGGCCACGCCTTATTATTTAGCAAACCAAAACTGGAAAGTCCCGCAATACGCATGAGAACAAATGCGACTTGAGCACTTATTTACCACGGTAAAACACAGTAAGTGAAGCAATGTTTCCTAGCAATGACAACCGCGCTGAAATCTAATGAGAAAACAAGACAAAACACATTAGTGTTGTCACGATACCAAAATTTTGACTTTGATACGATTCCTGACTAAAATATCTCTACTATACTACAACTGAACCGATGCTACGACAAAAAAAATAAAAGAAAAGTAATTGAAAAAGGA